AAAAAAAAAAAAAAAAAAAAAAAAAAAAAGCGCCCCACACTCACTGGATGCTACAGTGGCTATTGGGGCCTATGGGGGCTCATGGCAGAGCCCCCCACACAGTGTGGGGCAGCAGGGATTGCCCCCCTGCCTGGCAGGAGCCAGTGAGTGCAAGGCTTTTTTTTTTTTTTTTTAAGTGCCAAGATGCTGGGGCTGGGCGGGGCAACCTTTTACAGGATTGGGAGAGTAGGCAAGGGATGGGGCCTGTTTGATTTGGAGATCTGGTTGATTCAACAGTTGCCAAATCTCCAAATTGGATTCGGCCAAATTGATTCAGCACGGTAATTTGAATCGCCAAATCAAATCACTGTCCCTTGAACCATCCGAATCTGAAGTGAATACTAGCCACTTCCCACATGGACGATTATGGACTAACCTGCTTATAGAGTAACTTTCTCCACAACTCCTGTCAATTAGTTGATAGTGTTTGGCCTTTCTACTACCGAATTCCTAAAACTTGGACTCTGTAGCCACAAGATCTGCTGTTCTCTGATTCTTCTTGTTAAATGTTACCCCTCCTTTTCTATGTCTTAATCTGTTCTTCCTGTATAGTTTATAGCCAGTTATTACAACAGATCATTGGTATTTTCATTCATATGCTTTGCACCTTCTTTACAGGTGTTTGGAATAGGATGCTCCTGAGCTAGTAAAGATATAGGCTTCTAGTAAAGTGGTTTGATTGTTTATGAAGTTGATTTTAAGGTTAAGTTTATATTATTAAATAAATGTAGGGCAATAAAATCTGGAGATACTCTGCCTTGAGCATAAGTGACTTTCTCTTCCCTCTGTGTTGTGTGTGTGCTGTTTCTTTTTAAAGGAATTCCTCCTCCTAGAGGAGTGCTACTGTATGGCCCTCCAGGTACTGGGAAGACCATGATTGCCAGAGCCGTTGCAAATGAAGTTGGAGCTCATGTTTCCATTATTAACGGTCCTGAAATATTAAGCAAGTAAGTCAACCCAATTTATTTATGTCAGTGACTTGCAGATAGTGAGAGTGAGCCAAATTACACACTGACACACGTGCATTGTGCAATGCTAGTGTTTGTATGATTGTGTCCAGTGTGTATGCCTGAGTTTCAGAAATTTTCAGGGAAGGGTTCTTTTTGTAGGTATTATACTGCTCATAATCTGAAAATGAAAATCCAAGTTTGTTGCTTCCAAGAGGTTTCTAATGGTCAGTAGAGTGAAATTCTTGGAATGGCTTTCTGAACAAGGCAGTACAGACAAAGAACCTAAACTTTTTCAAAAAGTAACTTGATAAGTTCATAGAAGGGAGATATAGGGTGAAAATAGACGTAACATTTGAGGTATTTAAAGGTGCAGCTGTTCTTGAAGCGCTTCAAAAATACAGTGTTTCAATAGTGGATAGGCATAGTGTTCTCTGGCTGGAACACCTTGGAATTGGTGTAGTGTGCCTTCCAGCTAGGGGGTATGATAAACGGGTAAGAGCACATGGTGTGCTACACCTCAGTGTAGTCCAGTAACTCCTAATCTCTAAGCAGAGCCAATGACAATAAGGCCAACTTCAAGAGTAAATTGGATGCTTATTTTGCTGGGATCCTATGACCCCAGCTGACTTCCTGCCTTTTGGGCAGGGGGCTGGACTCGATCTTCTGAGATCTCTTCCAGCCCTAAGGTCTATGAAATCTATGAGGTACAGACATTCTACTTTTACCAGTATAAGTGAACAGAAACTGGTCTATATTCATAACAGAACAGAAGTTCAGAACACAAAACCAGTCTGTACCCATAACAGAACAGATGTTTGGCACACAGACTGGTTTAAAAATGGTGAAACCTGGTCTAAGACTCGCCCCCCCTAACCAAAGGGTGAACTTGTGTTCTGTTTACTACTGGTTTAAATTACAGCGCTTACAGAAAGCTGCCTAACTTAGATTCTGTCTCAGCTTTTTGAATGTCTGTACCTAGCCTAAGTGTTCTCCTGTCTGTCCTGCCTCTGGTGTCCCAGAGTGTGCCCCTACCTGAATTGGGAAACCAGAAAGGTACAAAGGAATTTTGGGGCTAAAGAGCCAGAATCTTGGTTCTGGTGAGCATCGCAGGATCTCTCAGTTCCAGTGGAGGGGGGTGGGAGTGCAGGGTCTCTTGTCTCTCAGTTTTGGTTCCAACCTAGGGTTGGAGGGCAAGTTGTTTTGTGTGAGTGGAGGTCTGATGTACAGGACAGTGCCCACTGGCACAATATTCCAGTCCCTCCACCTTCCCCTCTCTCCCAGCATTGCAGTGGGGCCAGGAGAAAGGGGAGTACAGTGTGATACTAGGGGACCCAGGGTCATCTCCTATGCTCTGTAGAGCATGAAGGGCTCTGCATCTAACTTCATTTTGAAGTGCTTCAAAATAGTACCTGTTCATTCGGGGTTAGTTTTGGAGTGCTTCTGCCATTTTTGGAGCACTTCAAAGACTACGTATACCTGTCAGCTTGCAATTTAAAGTGCTTCAAATGTTACATCTGTCCTCTTGCAAAGAAGAATCTCATCTAAAAAGTTTATTGTGGAATTCGAGTTTATATAATAGCGTTTGTGGCATTCATACATTCTCTGAGGATTTCTGAATGGATAAAAACTGCTTTTTAGAAGTAAAAGGTGAAGAGTGTTTTATTGAAATAACAATAAAATGCCTCTTACTGAATTATTTTGGTTGTTACAGGTTTTATGGTGAGACTGAAGCAAGATTGCGACAGATATTTGCTGAAGCTTCTCAGCGGTATGCATCTTTATGTATGTTCGTTTAGGACAATATTTCAATGTTAATGTGTAAAGAAAAGTTTATGAAGACTCTCTGACTTGCAAGTTTTTCTTATGGAAGTATTTTAAAAGGGAGGTATTTTTCTTTTCTCCACAGTGAACCAAAGACAGCTAGTAAAATTCTAGTCTTCAAATGAAATGCCTTAGCACACTTATATAAAGCCGTGCCATTTAAAGAGCTACTGCATATTACCAGGGACGTACTGAAATCTCAATTACATAACTTTTGTGGAAATCATGATTGTGCGTGAGCTCCTTGAAAAAGTGTTGGTGCTGCACTTTTGGCAGGCTTGCTGCAAAAAATAAATAATTAAACAAACTTACTAGCAAACAGAGAAAAGCATGTGAGAAGCCCTGCAGTCTTGGAGCTTGGGGGGAAGGTGGAGGGAGAAGGCAAGGGGGAGAGGAGGAAGGGAAGAGGAAGGGGTGGGGCTGTTCACAGTAGCCTGCTATTAGCAGCCCTGCCCCCCCTACTCCTTTCCATGTGCTCCAAGACTGTGGGCTTCCCACACACTCTTCTCTGGTTGCTGGTAAGTTTATTTATTTATTTGCAGTGAGCCCTTGGGGATATGCTGAAACCGCAGCTCAATTACCTTGATTAAGCTTGGAGGAACCATTAGTTTTTTAATAACTTGTAGACTAATGGCTTCCCCAGGCTTAACCAAGGGAATTAAGCCGCAGTTTCAGGCCATGTGGCACCTGCAGGGAGGGGGTGGGACTTCTGGGGTACCTCAGCCAATCAGAGGCATGGGGGGCCCTGCTGTGCTCAGCTCACAAAAATGGTGGTTGGCCCTAGGATTTGTCTGCAAAATTGGCCGGCTTCCCTGTTGAGTACAGTAGACCTCTAAATATTACCTCTAACCAATGAGCTTATATTCTCATCGTAGGTGACACTAGAACCGAAGCTTTTATTTTCATTAGAAAGGAGCCCAAGCCCTGTAGTTGGTATCTACATCCAAACTGAGCATAAGTGGTATCTACACACCAAAATGAAATGCCCAGCAAATTGTGAATAAGCTAACTTGACTAACTGAAGCAGTGTAGCTGTATTAGCATGGTGCTCTGCCTGGGTTAATAAGCTGTGCAGAAATACTTTTAGCATACCCTAATGTGTAAGAATAGCTGAACTAGGTTTTATACTGATGACCAGGGATCCTGGTTTTTTCTGATAAAAAAAAATTACAAATTCTATGATAAAACCCCCCAAATCTGCAGTTAAACTGAAATGCCACTATATAAATTGGTATCAGTTGAACACAGTGTTTTATTGATATATTTACAATTGTAAAGCAGTTTGGAAGCCTACCAGTGCCTCAGTCACTATAATAAAATAAATTCTAAATACCTATACATTTTGGCATTTGATTTGGGGTTTTTTTATCATGGAAAATCAGAGCTTTCCCTGCCCACTTCGCTCACCAGGATGTGGGTCCAGCTGT